TGCCGGGTCCTCCGCTGGCCAAACCCATGAGAAGCAAGAAGAGGCCAGAGAGCCCAGGTGGCAGTCTTCGTGTGTCAGCCTCCCAGGACACAGAGCAGTGCAAAGAACACGGGGTGCGGGGCGGGGGATAACCACCCCACCCAACGATTCCTGCTCTGACACCAGATGCTTATTCTGCTCTTTTATCGTCATCTCTGCAGCTGCCTGCAGTCAACTAGTGATTAACATGGGAAGGAAGCCGGGCCTGGTGGCGCTTGCCTATAATCCCAGCACTCGGGAGGCTGAGGCAGGAGGATCACTGTGAGTTTGAGACCAGCCTGGGCTACATAGTGAGTTCCAGGTCAGTCTCAACTACATAGTGAGACCCTGTTTCAAAAAACCAAAACCAAACAAACAAAAACCAAAACCAAAAAAGCAAAAACAAACAAATAAAAGACATGGGAAGGAGACTGAAGATTCCTTCTTTGCCACAAATGTCCCGGCTCAGAGGGAGGTGGGATACAGGCAGAAAGCAGGGTGAGAGGAGAGGCCACGGCTGTGTTTGAGTACACCTGGGCCTGGGACCGCTCAGTCCCAGCTTGGAGAGAAAAAGAAAAGAACTACTGGTGGCTGGGATGTCAAACAGCAGCAATAGTCAATGACTCTCCTTCCCTGGTATGTGATACAAATCATTGTGAAGCTTCCCTCTGACTTTCCTCTCTAGAACGGGAGTCCCCGTGGGGCAGGGATTTTGTCTTTTTCATCCCAGACACCTAGCCTCATGCCTCTTAGGGGCATAATCAGAATTTATGGAATACGTAAGTAAAGAGATGGGAAAATGACTGAACAAGGCCTTTGCAGCTCATGCGCACAGCCCCGGGCCCACGTCAGGGAGCACTGCGGGATGAATGGCTGACAGCACTCTCACTGGAGTTTCATTTCAATCACCTGCCACCTTGGATTTCCCTGGCCGCCGTCCAGTCACTGGCCACATCAGCCCACGCTTGTCTCTGAGCTGGCCAGAGGCTGTGCTCCGAGGGCACTGTTCAGACGCAGTGACTTCATTGGGCTCCTCTGGATGGGGGAACAGGAGACAGCAGCAAGTTACTTCATTTCTCACAGCAGCCTTCCCGAGAGCTCTTTCTCTGGGGAAACCTTGATCCATGGCGAATGTCTGTGGCGTTCCCAGCTGGAGCCCTTGGCAAGAGATGGAAGGAGAAGATGACAGTGCCAAGGAGCAGCTGAAGAATTGTCACCCTGGGAGCCACAGCTCCAACTTGCTTTTTCCAATGGGCCGGAAAGAGTGAGGGAGGCGGGGGAAGAGGAGGGGCACCCAGACAGACAGACTAGCGACCCCAAGGGGAGCTGCCATGCCAGGACCCCTGGTGAAGTGGTTTCATACACTCTGGGGCCAGGCGGCTTCGTAACCCTTGCTCCACCACTTGCTGGCTCTGTGACCTCAGGCAAGAAACTTGAGTACTATGCCTCAGTTTCCTCATCTTGCAAAAGTGGCTAATACTAATACCTACTTCATATGGTTGTGGAAAAGGTAATAGTACTGAATATTTAGCTGGGGTGTAGGGTGCATAGGAAGCCTCACATCCTCACATAAATTTCATTATGTGAAATTGAGCCAGACCTTGGGTTATAGTCCCACAAACTTCTACACTAAGCTCAGCCTCAGATACTGCTCATGTTTGCTATGAGAAGGAAGTAATAGGTATGGAAATTACAGATTAAAAGTGTCATCAAGATTGCACAGGAAGCTGGGTCTAGCAGGGGGTGAAAAGATTCTAAAGGGCCTTGGGTCATCAACCTCTGATTATCTGCCAGGTCGAGGTCTCCTTCTTGTCAGCATCATCAGCTTGGCTTTTCAAGGCTTTTATTGACAAGAGCCGGGCCTCTCATGGTTCCTCCCACATACAATGGGACAGCTCAGCCTAGGGCTCCAAGAAAAGCCTTTGAAAGCAAAATTGGTCTTTCCGTGGGTGCCCAGAAGGCAGGTGAGCCACCTAACAGCAAGCTGTGAGAGAGGAGCCTCGCACCTCCACAGCCCACTCTGGTTGGGCAGGACAGAGTGAGAGAGTGACCAGCTAGTTACTCAACTTCCCTGAGTCTCAACTTTTCTCCTATTCAAAATGGGAATAATTACGCCTAATTCAAAAGGTGAAAGGCAATGTGTATAAACTCACTGGTAAATGGCTGATCCAATGAATGGCTGGTATAGATAGGGCTGATCCAATGAATGGCAGCTAGGATTCCCTAACATTTTGTATTTTCTACACACCCACCTCTCCCAGGGATAGAGAAGTGATGCTAACTTGCAGACTAGTAAGGGGGGGAGGTAACACAAAGTGATTTGTGGCTATGATTTTTTTTCATGTTTTATTTCCAGACTACAAAGTAAGTACTGATACATCCAAACTTCATTCATTCATTCATTCATTCAACAGATGTTTACCAAGTTTACATGGCTTGCTGTTAGTTCATTCAAACTTGTGTTTGTCTTGCTCTCACCACCAGGACTCAAGGGTCAAGAGGGCAGGGATATTGTCTGTTGCCAGGCATGGAATGCAGCTCAAAGTGTGTCTGAAGATGATGAGGGTCTAGGCAGGGAGGTAGGGGCAGGCTGCTTGGATTCTGGTCAGTTACACCTCCAAAAACCTAACTTTCCCTTGTTTTTTGAGCCTTTGAAGACCCTCTTTCAACTGTGAGACAATGCCAGGTCACTCGAAACCAGACCTAGAGAAATAGTTCCCTTTCACCCACTGTCTCTGAAGACCCAGGAGAAGGGTCCAAGTCCCCTAGTCTGAGGAGTAGAGCAAGTGGACAAAATACCAGCAACAGCAAAGAAAAGAGGGATTAGCCCCATATCAGTAAATTAACAGAAGAAGAAAATAGGAGACATGTTCAAGGCACTTTTATGGACACTGCTTGCCCCCACAGGTATGACACACCTGCTTTTGTTTTGTTTTTGATTTTTGTTTGCTTTGTTTTTTGAGACAGGGTCTCGCTATGTAGCTCAGGCCAGTCTTGAACTCACTGTTTAGCCCAGGCTGGCCTGGAATTTGTAGCGATCATCCTGCCTCAGTCTCCTGAGTGCTGGGATTACAGGCATGGGCCACCAGGCCCAGCTCTTGTTTTGTTTTGTTTGAGACAGGGTATTGCTACGTAGTTCAGGATGGCCTCATCATAATCCTCCTACTTCGGCCTCTTGAATGCCATGTACAGGTGTGTGCCACCATACCTGGCAAGACACACCTGTTCTTAACCACAGCCCTCATTCTATATGATGCAGGCTGACTAGAGACATGTGAGAAAAGAGGAAGTCATGTCAAAAAGGTGGAAACAACCCAAGGTCTACCAGCTGATGAACAGATAAACAAAATGTGGTACATCCATACCATGGATGTGATTCAGCCAAGAGGAGGAATGAGGTACTCATACGTGTTTCCACATGGATAAGCCTTGAAATGGGTGATACGAAGCAACAGAAGCTATCCCAGAAAGCCCCTCATTGTATGATTCATTCTCCTGAAAGGCCACAGTAGGAAAACAATAGAGAAAATACCAGGCTGGATGGAATAGAAAGGAATAAGGAGAAGAGAGTTAAAGGTATGAGGTTTCTGAGATAATAAAAAAAATTCTAAAATTGACTATCGTGAGGATTACACATATTTGTCAGCACACTAAAACTATTGAGTTGTACATTTCAAATGGAATTGTATGATATGTGAATTATATCCCAAGAAAGTTGCTTTAAAAAGGAGAAAGGGCAGTTGAGAAGAAGCAGGAAGTCCATGACTAGAAACAAAGCCCAGGCACTGTCCGTCCTGGCTGCCCCCCAACTCAGAGTCTGCATCCCATACGGGCAATGTTATGGTAGCCCCCAAGCCATGACGCAGGAAGATAAATTGACCCCAGAAGGTATGGGGCTGGGTCCCGTCTCCTCTGACAGCTCCCTTTCTGTGTGTTTTCTGGCACAAGAAACATGCTGTCTTCTTGTATAAATAGGGGAAATTTATGACACTTTTTCCCCTGCTCCTCCCTGGTGGGCTACTAGGAAGGGCCTAGCGGGAGGAGAGCCTCAGATTGCAAGTATAAACGTGGAAAGACTAGAGGGAATCCAAGAGATCTCTTTGCCTGCTTGGGCTCTGGCCCCAGCTCTCCTTTCCCCCGTCAAGAAGAGGTGCCGCCACCCCTTCTCCAGGCTCAGGGGAACAGGTTCCCCAGGCAGGTATCCAACAGGAGGGGAGTGCAAACGTGGTTTCATTGGCCCAAGATCTCCTGGAGGAGATGGACTCTTCTGAACAGACGTGGTTCTTTTGGTACCTCCTTGTTTGTTGATGTGATGGGTAAAGAACTCATCTTAGATTCAGAAAACCTGTCAGGACAACTAAGTGTGTGACCTTAACCAAGTCATATCCCAGCTCTGGACTTCACCTGTGAAAGAAAAATAAAAAGAGAGACAGAGAGATTGCATTTTACAGGATTTTTCAATACCAGTTTTAGCTAAAGAAAGGCCCGGACCTTTCTTTAAATAAAATTTTATGTAGTAACCCAGCACAGACCATGGTGGCTGGAAATGGGGTGGAAATGGGAGTTGCCCAGGCCCCTGTGGTTACAAGAACTGGCCTAGCATGGGAAGATCTCCAAAGTCCCCTCCGGCTGTGTTCGCGGGAGAAGGTTTGGCCCATGGCAATGATATCACCCCACTCTGCCATTATGTGTCCATTGGCACCTTACTTAGCTACTTTAGGCCTAAGTTTCCTCATTTGTAAATTGGAATAATAGTAACATATCTTAGAGGAGTGTCATGGGGTAATATTAAATAGTGTAGTTAGAGACCTTGGCATAGTATCTAGCTCAGTAAATTTTATTAGTATAGTTATTTCCTGATCTGATGGAATCCTTTTGGTGAATGTGAATTAACAGATTTGATGTAAGATGTATTAGGAAAGGTAATGGCGACATTGTCATAACAAAAAGGCCCCCAAACACACTAGCATATAGAAAGTAGTTTATTTCTCACAGGACATTCTAGAAGGAAGCAACCTTGGATATAATCAACTCTGCTTTACGTCATCAACTGTGAACTTAGGTTCCTTTCATGCTGTTGCTTTGATTTCTCCTTAAACACTTGGCCAAACAGCCCAGGCCCATCTGGGCAGCACATGAAAAGGACAATACAAAGAATTTACCAATGTCCTCAGGCTCTCATTCCCTGCTACCCACACCTGGTAGCAAGGGATGACTGGGAAGTAGGTGTCCAGCTGGGTCACTCTCTGCCCTCCTACAACAAAGAGAGGAAGGATTTTAGTGGACAACTGGCCATCTTAATCTAGGGCTCAAACCCACACCTGAGCCATCTTCTTTCCAGAGAAAGAGAACTAAAGGCCACTGCTTAGTGTGACCCCAGTCTGGTCTCTTCCATTCACCCCAAGATTAGCAGTCCTGAAAAAAATGATTTGGAAGCCTCCCTCCAAAAAGAATTTCCTCCTATCCTTTTTACATGGCTGTGAGGAAAGTTTATGCCCTCACTTCTTGCCTGCCATTCCGTCTCTTGGTCTCACCTTACTTCCTAACCCGCTTTTCCCCACCACTGTGTGAATACAAATGTGGAAGTACAGGAATGACCTGAACCAGAAATGGAAGGAGAGACCTAGGCACAGAGGCCACACTCAACAGGCAGCCTAGGCATGAGTTCTGGTACCAGGAAAACCCATCTACCAACTATGTGACCATGCCGGGCATGACAGCACACACCTGTAATTCCAGCATTTGGGAGGTTGAGGCAGGAAGATTGCCATGAGCTCGAGGCCAGCCTCGGCTACATAGTGAGTTCAAGACCAGCCTGAACTACAGAGCAAGACCTTGACCAAAAAACAAACAAAAAAAACCCCAAAAAACCTACATAGACATTAAATATTCTGAACTTCAAAGTGGGCATTAAAGATTGTGAACTTCAACTGAGCCTTTGGAAATAGGATTTAGAAAACTATTTGTCAGAATTGTTGTAAGCATTAAATGAGATAATGTATGTAGCTGGCACATAGTATACCCTCAGTAAATGCTAATTTTACTTGGTACTAGAGAGGCAAATCTGATTCATATCCTCTGCTGTCACCTACTTTGTATGGGTCCTTTCTCCCTCCCCTTTCTTAGCAATGCATGACTCCCTCCTATTCCTATAATACTTTACAGTACCAAAGATTAAACCCAGGGCCTTGTGCATGCTAGTCAAGTGCTCTACCACTGAACTACATATCCAGCCTTTTTTTTGCTTTTGCTTTTGAAATAAGATCTCACTAAATTGCCCAGGTTGGCTTTGAACATGTAATCTTCCCGCCTTAGCCTCCTGAGTAGCTGGGATTTTAGCCATAGGCTAGTTCACCTAGTTCCCTCTTGCTTCTTTACTTGCTATCTTCATTCCTTTTCTATCTGAACCTGACCATAATCTCTTTCTCCAGGAAGTCTTCCATGGCTGAAAAATTCCCAATGTTTCTTCCCCTTCTCCAGCTTGCAAGCTGCTCCAGGATCCCAGCCTGGTCCTTGCCCCAAGTTCATATGTGCCCCACCCATTTCTCCCTTCAGAAAGTCTCAATTCCTCCTTTAAAAAGTGTGCAGCATGGAAAAGATGAAGATTTGCTATCACAAGTCAAACAGTCCTATGCCACAGCATGTAATAAATTTTGTATATTCTTTTTCCTGTGTAATAATAATTTTTTAAAAGATGAGAGCTCTTACTCCAGTGTTGCTACCTTCTAGTTTTATGACATGGTCAGGTAACTCCTCTGTGGATCTGTTCCTCCCATCCTTGGGTGGGTAGGGCTGGAACACAAGCACACAGTATTTAGTACATCACATGGTGTTTCAGTACCTGCCAGCCTTCCTCAGCCCACACTATGCCCCAAAGGGAGATATTAGACCAAGAAAATAAGCCCCTTATCACCAGCCTCCACCCCCCAAGGGAAGGAGAAGGGACTTACTTCCCCCTGAAGATCTATGGCTATTCAGAGAGTGCTACCGACAAAGAAAGAACCAGAGCCCAGGCCTGGAAAAGAGCTGGGACACCCCAGCCCCAGGGGTCAGAGACACTGAATGCAGCCCTAGTTCAGAACTAGACCCAACCAGGAAGGGTGACAGGTGAGCAGATCACAGTCACAGAGCCCATGTGAATGAAGTCACATTTACTAGCAGTATTCACATACCCAGCACTGTGGGAAACACATTACATGTACCTCATCTAATCCCGAAGGAGCCCCTCAGGTGGAATCTATTACTACTATCCTTTATTTTATAGGCCAAGAAACTAAGGCAGACAGAAAAGCTGAGCAATTTGTTTAATGTCAGAGGCTACTTAGTTTCAGAACCCCTAGCTGTTGGCCCCAAGCTCTTCCTTCTCCAGGTGGGCCTTGAACTACCAGCACCTCTCTTCACAAATCTGTTTTACCCCAGGGCCCACAATCCTTGTTCCCCAAAACTACTGTTCACCTGTGTCCTTTTCCCTAGTCCCCTCCCTCCCTCCACCTCCACACTTTCCTGACCCTCCTGAAATTCAAATGATTTTCAACAGACTAAGGCCTTCAGACTTTTCCCAATCAGGCCCCCACTGTGCTTGATCTCTGGCCCTCCAGGGTGGAGGGAGGCCCTGAGGTGGTGAAGCTGGAAAGCCTGGGATACAATCCTCCTCTGCTCCCCCGCCCCTCTTCCCATCACTCATCTGGGAATCCAGGGCGAAGAAAGGAGCTAAAGTGCAGTGTTCATTTAATATTAACAAATTGAAATGAATTCTTTTAATGCCAATTAACTTGGAGCGGCCCCTTATTAATAGTAATTTAGATTCATACTTGGGAGAAGCAGAGACAGGGGCTGGGCCAAATGTGCCCAGAATGTCAATATGACGGTGGAGGGGGGGTAGGGAGGAGGGGAGGAAGGGGAGGAGCCGCAGTTTTACTTCTGCCCACTTGGGTTCTGTTTCCCTGAGAAAAACAAAGTCACCAGAGGCAGATCTACTTCCAGGAGACATGAATCACTCTTGTAATTTTAGTTTATAGTTGCAAAGGATCTTAATAGGTTGAAAATATATCACACAATTTTAATAGTTTACCTTCGTAGTAATGCTAAGGGAATTCCCTCAGACAGAGGATTTACCCCCAAACTTCACCAAGTCAATCCTCACTGGCGAGAAATAAGAGTCCCCTGCCCAGCTCTCTACTCTTTGTTCAAAGCCAGAGTCAGAACCAAAAAGGGGTCCTAGAGCCCTGTCACTCCCAGGAAGCAACATTATTTGTCCCTTCTGGGAATTCTCCCCCAGGAAGTAAAAGACCCAATGGGCTGATCCCACACACATCCACCAGCAGCAACTTATATTGAAGGGAGAAATAAAATCTGCGCTCATTTTTCTTAGAATTTAGGGAAAAGGCAAGAATTAAAAATTCAACTTTGTATACCAGACAGTTACCCAGAATAAGACCCAGTGGAAAGTCCAAAGAACTTAGTGCTGAACTAAAAAGTTGAGAGCAATGCTGTTCTCACTGTTTTGTCCCTGGAAAGGTAGGACTGGAAGAATACAGAACTTAGGAGTGCAGCCTCTGCCCCCCATCAAGGACATGTGCTTGTTCCCAGTTTTCCCCCTCCCCCTGGTTGAAAGGAGAGAGGCTGAGAATTAGGGAAGGTCGGGGTGGGGGTTCTGAAATAGAGTAGGCTGGAGGGGGAAAAGGGCTGGAGAAAAGGAAGGAGATGTACAAAACAGTGGTGTTTGTAAGATAACTTGAGAAACAGTTTAACATACAAAAGATTAAATAGAAGTCCAGTTTTTAAAAGGAGGTAAAATACGCCAAAATTGAGACAATTAAAAACAAGGAAGTGTATAACATTTCAAGCAAAATTTTCTTCATGGGGGAAGGAGGCTGGAACTAATCAAAAGACAGCTTGTTCACACCCCTACCGAGTTTCCCAAACAATAAATTCATTCACAAAACAAAAAGAGAAACCAACACAAAACTAAACACCAGTCCACACACAGGGGAAAAAATCTGCAAAAATTCTGTAACCACTGAAAAACTAGTTAGGAAAGAGGAAAAAATGAATAAACTCAGAATTTGGGAAGTGATTGTTTGTAAATACTGACACTGGAAATGGGACAGAGAAAGGAGGTGAATTTGACATCATTAGAAGCGTTAAAACTTGCAAAACCATAAGGTCTAATTCATCCCTCACGAAGAGTAAACTTTCCACAAGTAGAAAGTGTTTCCCCCAAGAGAAGGGATTATAAAATTATGAAAAAGCACCACTCACCCTGGCACAAAAATGTATATTAATCTGAATTTCATTTCTACCAACTCAAGTTGGATTATGCAAAAGAATTCAAGTGGGTTATTTCTATTCCAACTAAGAGAAAAATCTGCATTTCAATTGTCCATGGGACGAGAAAGGGGGCATCCTTTGCAGGTGCCAGAAATAAGCGGGTGGGGCTTGAGGAGTAGGGAGCAGCTTACCTTGCTCTGGGGCGGTGGCGACCAGAGTGGGCGAAGGACGCTGCTGGTGACTGCACGTTAGGGGAAAGGAGCACCAGGGGATCCGAGCGCCCCTTGACAAATGAGGGTAGGACTGGGGGTGCCCACCTCCTCCCGCCTCTCCCCCGCGGTACTCAGGCCTAGAGAGCCACTGAAAGTTACAAATTGCTTCCATTATTAGCTCATCCCGGGCGGCCTGGTCATTGGCCAGCCCCTGAGCACGTGGTCTTTGGCACCAATCGATCGAATTTCTAGTTGCAATTCTCTGTCTGTCCCTTGGCTCTGGGGAGGGAAAGGGGGAGCTGGGGCGACGGGGGCTGGGAGGGGCAAAGGGGCGACCTTCACTCTTCCTTTTCGCTAAGTGGGGGTCCTGAGCTCCGCCGAAGGAATTGAGGGAATGCGGTAGGCTGAGGCACACCCAGGAGCCCAGGAGCTGGAGAAAGAAACAACGCCAGGGACCCAGGGTCCTCTCTTTCCAGTTCCCCGGCCGGCCAGGTCGTGTTCGCCACTCGCTCTTTAGCACAGGCTCGGTCCCTGGCCGTCCCGGGGCCTGGCAGCCTGCCCCTCTGCCCTAGGCACTCGCTTGCTCGCTCTCGCTCTCGCTCTCGCT